ATTTCCTAACAAATGGGGCAATGTCATTCTTTCTGATGGAGGCATAGAATTCCATTGTGTATATATACCACATTTTCTTGATGCATTCATCTACTGAGGGGCATCTGGGTTGGTTCCCTATCTTAGCTATGGTAAATAATGCTGTAATAAACATAGTCATGCTGGTAGCTTTAGTGTGGCCTTGTTTGTGATCATTTGGGTAAATGCCCAAAAGTGGGATTGCTGGGTCATAGGGGAGCTCTATGTGAAGTCTTTTGAGGAACCTTCATACTGCTTTCCAAAGGGGTTGAACAAGTTTACACTCCCACCAACAATGCAGTAAGGTTCCCTTCTGTCCACATCCCCTCCAGCATCTGTTGTTATTAGAGTTCTTGATTATAGCCATTCTAACTGGAGTGAGGTGGTATCTCAATGTTGTTTTGATTTGCATTTCTTTTATGGCTAGGGAGGTTGAGCATTTCTTCATGTGTCTATTGGCCATCCTTCTTTCCTCTTCAGAGAAGTTTCTCTTTAAGTCTTTAGACCACTTATTTATTGGGCAGTTGTTTCTTTGAAGATTTGTTGTCAGGGGATTTAATTTTTTGAGTTCCAGGTATATTTTAGATATGACACCCTTGTCTGTTGTAATCCGTGGGCTTTCTATTAATCTTGCTATGTCCTTTGCCATACAGAAGCTCTGCAATTTCATGCAATCCCATTTGTCCAACCTTTTTTTGATTTGTTGTGTTTCTGGGTCTCTATTAAGAAAATTTCGGCCTGTGCCAAGGAGTCCTAAGGTTTCTCCTATTCCATCCTGTAATGTTTTCAGGGTGTCTGCTTTGACTCTGAGGTCTTTGATCCATTTGGAGTTGATTCTGGTTCAGGGTGATATATAAGGATCTAGCTTTAGTTTTCTGCAAGTAGTTAACCAATTTTGCCAGCACCATTTACTGAAGAAGCTGTCTTTTTTCCATTCTATTTTTTTAGCTCCCTTATCGAAAATTAGATGGCTATAGGTCTGTAGGTTCATTTCTGGGTTTTCAGTTCTATTCCATTGGTCCTGAGGTCTGTTCTTTTACCAGTACCAAGCTGTTTTGATTACTATGGCTTTGTAGTAGAGTTTGAAATTTGGTATTGATATTCCTCCAGCACTGTTCTTTCTGTTGAGGATCGTTTTAGCTATTCGGGGTCTTTTATTGTTCCATATGAATTTTTAAATTGCCTCTTCTATTTCCTTGAAGAATGAGGATGGAATATTGATAGGTATTCGCATTGAATTTGTAGATAGCCTTGGGAAGTATTGCCATTTTCATGATGTTGATCTTTCTAATCCAGGAGCATGGAAGTTTTTGCCACTTTCTAAGTTCTGTTTTGATTTCCTTTTTCAAGTTTTTATCATAGAGGTCCTTCACTTCTTGGTTAAGTTAATTCCTAGGTATTTTATTTTTTGTGGGGCTATTATGAATGGTGTTTTCCTAATTTCAGCCACACTTTTCTCATTGTTGGCATACAGAAAAGCCATTGATTTTTGAGGGTTAATTTTATACCCTGCTACTTTGCCAAAGTTTTGAATCAGCTTGAGTAATTTGGGAGTGGAGTCTGTGGGATTCTTTAAATATAAGATCACCTCATCTACAAAGAGGGAGAGTTACTTCTTCTTTCCCTATTTGGATCCACTTTATGTTTGTATCTTATCTTATTGCTGTAGCTAGGCATCCTAATACTAGATTGAAGAGCAGTGGAGACAGTGGACATCCTTGTCTTGTTCCTGAGTTAAGAGGAAATGGCTTTAGTTTTTCACCATTAAGTACAATGCTGGCTGTAGGTTGTCATATACAGCCTTTATTGTATTGAGGAATGTTCCATGGATTCCTAATTTGTCCAGAACCTTCATCATAAGGGGGTGTTGGATCTTGTCGAATGCTTTTTCTGCATCTATTGAAATAACCATGTGGTTCTTATCCTTGCTCCTGTTGATGTGATGAATTATATTAATCGATTTGCATATATTGAACCAGCTTTGCATCCCTGAAATGAATCCTAAAACAGGAATTCTTGACAGACAAAAGACACTCAGTAGGCCATGCAAGTATTTGAGGTCTGGACTCTCACCTGTGGCATGGCAATTAAATACAGCATACTTTTGCTCCCATACCTTTGCATTACTACCTATGGTTGCCCAGCAAACTCATCATCCTAAGGTTAGAGCTATATTAACCTGCACTGGCAACTAGAGCAGCATTTAGGGTACCGTACAATAGATACAGGCTTCTTTTATTCTGTCAAGTTCTATAATATTCAAACTTGGCATTAGGACCCAATATCCACCCTGAGCAGGTGATTCTCACTGCAGCAGACATTAGGGTAAAGACTACACCAGAGGGAAGATCATAAATAAAGACAAACTGACTCCATAAATATGTTGCAAAATAAATGAACCTTCTCCCACATCACTTCTTTTGGATTTTGTATTAGTCTGTCTAATACTATTAGTGTCTATCTTACTTTCTCCTTTAGAATAAAGAATAAAGTCAGTTACTTTCAAAGAAAAAACAAAAGTCTTGCCAAACAAAGACAAAAACTAGGCTCTTTCATCTTGATTGGATAAGAAAAGTGATTGAAGCAAGTCATTGAAGCAATGTATATAGAATGACTAGTCATAGAGGAAATTTTGCTACCCACTCTGTCTGGTATGGGCATCATAGCATGTAAACATCTTCCACAAGCTTTGAACACCTCTGAGTCAAACCCAATCTACAGCCTAGAATATGATGCTCTAGGAATCTTGAACCCATCAGCAGGAGCAAATGAACCCACTAAGTGTACATGGAGTACTACAGACCAGTTACGTTGTTGAGTGTCAGAGAGATCTCAGCAATCAGAGGCCCATGTTTGCTACTGCATGGGTTGGGTTGGATGGGGGCATGGTGGAATTTCCATGAAATATCCTTCAGCTCAAATAAGCCTCTCATCTAAGCCTCTTTCAGGTCAAATTCTCAGGATTGAGATCAAGATCTATCACCTGATATGACCTTTAGAGATGGGCAGGTTAACATACTTAACATGAGACTGAGCCTATAACCTATGAGGTAGCAGAATGTAGGCCAGAGGAAACATGTAAATACAGGTATTTATTTCACAAGAATGAAATACCCTGAGATGCATTCTAAGTAGCACAGTAGAGGGGACCTGGAGATTCAGCCTGGACTGGAATTGATAGTCATAAACCCAGCACACAATGACGAGTAGAGGATAATGAGTACATTATACCTGCTCTGTCTGTAGTGGTTCTCCAGAGTGTGTTGAGAATGATGCTGAGCCCAAGAGGAAAGAGGACCATGAGTTGTTTCAATGTCTTCCATGACCAGGGATGGAAGAGTATGGAGGCAACTTCACCACGAGCACACCAACTCTATGCTACACACTGCTAATAAACTCTGGGTCTGTAAAACTAGATTGGAAGCTAATCATGGAAAGCTTTGAAGGTGAAAGTGAAGAGTTTGGCTTTTATTTGGTGAGTAGGTAGAAATATATGGAATGTAAATGCCTTTAGCAAGACCCCAAAGAGGATCCACGACTTCCTGCTGTTTTATATCCAGTCTCCACTCTATGTCAAAGTTTTAAAACTTGAGGGGAAAGACTTGTGGGTCCTATTGAGAGAAATATGGAATTGAAGCAGAGGAACAAATTTAGGGTGTTGTGTGGAGAGGAAGGAGCTGAGTGGATGAATTCTAAAAGACTGTTATTGTTCTGATGACGCTACTGTACAGATGGGCTCACTCAATGCACAGCATTTCCCTGAGAAGAACTGTGAATTGGACATTGTGTCTTGTTCCAGCTTTTCCAAGGCTAATAGAGGACATCCAATTTGGACAGCTGGCTGGGGTTAGAGGTTTAGTCTGTGGCCATGGAATAAGGCCAAATTAACTGGGATGGAATCTGTGCCCTTGACCAGAAAGGGAAAGGACTAGCTGGTAATCAACTTTAGCCACTTCTGCTGTAACATCTAATCAGATATTGGCTTCCTGTCCTTGGCTTTCTTGCCAGCTGGATTTCTGCCTTACCTGATAGCCAGTCCCAGCTATTGGTAAAAGTTATGTGGGGCTGGTTCATTTTTTAAAATTTTTTTTTATTTTATTGTCAAAGTGTTGTACAGAGTGTTACAGTTACATACATAAGGTAGTGTGTACATTTGTTGTCGAACTTGTTACCCCCTCTCATTTTTCCCCACTTTCCCTCCCTGCCCAATCCCGTCCCCAGGTTGTACAGTTCACTTGGGCTTGTTCATTTTTATCTCTTTCAGTCAAGGTTGGAGATTGATGAGTGTGATAGACAATGGGAAAGTTTGTGTAACTCAACAAACAAGTGTGTTGTGCGCGCACGTGTGCACACGTGCCATCTTTCAGGATGTCTGGTATGATACTCTGTCTGCTAATCTAGGCTCTGACATTAGTTGCTGCACCTTCTCTGCATAACATTTTCTCATAGAGACTTAATTGTTAAGACTCATTTACCTGTAGAGTCTTAGCTTAGTTATTTTATCAGTTAATTTAGTAGTCTGGCTTAGTGAATGCTTCATTAACACTTCTGACACTTCGGTAAGGACTGCTAGAATCAGGACTCAGCTGGGCTACTGGGATTGGGTCTCTTGCTTTCCTAACATGGTCTTTGGGATTGTCTCTTTCCATTTGGCCATTTTACACTATCTACAGAAGGTTAGCTGATCATTTTACATGTCACTTAGGTTTTTTCCAAAGTAAAACAAACAACAACAACAAAAACACAACAAAAACTGGCACGCTTTCTGTGTCTAAGACCCTGAGCAAGCATAATATCACTTCTGCCTGGTTTTTGTTGGTTAAATGGGTCATAGAGCAATCCAGATTAGAAGCAAGAAGGATGTGAAGTTATTTGGAGGCACCGTTCACTGGGGGTGGAGCGTCCATTGGCACCCTTCTACTCTTAGAATACAGATCTACCCTCTCCCTTCTCTTTTTCTTCTTTCTTTTATTTATTTTTTTAAAAATGTGGAACACTTCACTAATTGGGGTGTCCTCCGTGCACAGAAGCCATGATCCTTTTCTCAGTATCATTCCAATTTTTAGCATGTGAGCTCTCTTTCTCCCTTCTTTCTGGCTATGCTAGCTCTCCCTTTGCTTCCCTCTGCATAGGAAAAGTAGCGTGGAAGATATAGGATGTGGCAAAGGGAATCTAAATGAGCTTTGCATAAGCAGGAATTGCTTAGGAAGTAAAGTCATGGTTAGAGTTTCCAGTACTTTAGTTTGGATTCTAAGCATGCCCTAAAGGTCCATTTAGCAAAGGCTTGCTCCTTGAGATGGTGTTATTGGGAAGTGGTGGAGTGTTTCAGAGCTAGGGCCAAGTGGGAGGGATTTAAGTCACTGGGGATGTGTCCTTGAAGGAAATAGCCTTTCTTCTTTCTCTCTTGGGTTTTGACCATTAGATGAGCAATATTGCTCCACCATGCGTTCCTGAGATGTGTCACCTTGCTGAAATCAACAGGGCCAACTAATCGTATACTGAAACCTCTAAAACTGTGGGGCAAAAAACAAAACAAAACATTTCTTTTATAAGTCAATTATCTCAGGTATTTTTTGTAATGGCAGAAAGCAGACTAAGCCAGAAAGGGAAAAACACTTTAAAGCACTGAGGATTTTGAAAACTACCAGTTTTATAATTAGAACATAGAGTTTTATGGGGTATTACAGAAGGTAGGCAAAAAGACAAAAGGGAAAAAGATCATGAAGAAATGATATGCCAAGCCAAGGAAGTCTTCTTTGGCTATAAGCAGGAAAAACTTGATCTGATTTACATTTTAGGAAGAAACTTGGGTAATTTGAGAGATTTACTAGAATGTAAAGAAGTTAGAGAGAGAGAGAGAGAGAGAGAGAAGATCAAATTAGACCTGGCAAAGGTCTTAGCAGGGCTGTCAGCAGGGTGTTTCAGGTCATCAGTACTTATTTAGAAGAGGGATTATGTGCACAGACAATTTGTTTTAAGATATATTACAAAATTTATGGACCAGATATGGTGGTAGATGTCTGTAATCCCAGCACTGGGGGGGATGAGGCAAGAGAATATTGTAAGTTCAAGACCAGCTTGGGCTATAGAGTGAGAGCCTTTTACAAAACCAACAGAAGTATAAATAAAAAGATAAATAAATTTCAAGATGGAAAGATGATTAACTGATAAAGGTTTAGAAAATTGGCAAAGGTACTTATCATTGTTTTCTATTGAATCAAAGCAGATTCTTCACAGCATGCTGGCCCCCATGTTCTTTCCCATTCATGGCCAAGACCCATCTTTTCTTGCTCATTATTGTTAAGTATGCTACTCCTAGCTGTTTTATATATTTCCCTCTATGGGCAAAAGATAAATAAAAGGTAACATACATTTATTACTCAGAATGTTCCAGCTGATTCTTTGCAAGTTATTTGTATAGGAACCAATGTAGATCCATTTGCTCTTACAGTTCCTTGAGTAACAGGTATTCCATGCTGGTTCCATGCTTGCTTATGACAGGTAGTCATCCATCATGTGAGTGTGAATATTGATTCCCAGTGACTCCTGAGACCTCTAGTGTTTTATTGATGATGACCACAAATGTGTGTCTTACTCGAGACACTCAGGAACATGGGAGCAAATGTTCATTACCTGCTCACATTAAATTTATTGTGTAGTATTTTATAACATAAATATAAAGCAGAACATACTCTAACCATGTTGTTGTTTTGAGCCATAGTCATTGGATTCTCAGAATGTCATTTCTATTTTTAATATTGGCCCACTCCTGCCTTCTACACTGCTCCCTACTGGGAGGAGAGGAAGGACCAGAGGCAGGAAATGAAAAGTCTCAATCACAGAGTATCTCTCCCTAGTCTGGCAAGCCTAAAGTCCCACCCACCTGGGAGGACATAGTGTCATCCTATCAGAGGACATTGGAGAGAACATTGATCAGAGGGCTTCTTCTAAAAGTTAATGGATGAGTTTAGGCCACTTCTTTGAATGTTTTTCATTTTTCCCCCTCAAGAAAACAATCCAAAGCTTTGTTCCTTCTTTGTAGCTTCCCCCTTGTTTCTAACTACCCTCCAAGTGTTGAGACAAAAGGAAAAGAGAGAGAAGGGAAGGGAAGAAAAAAGAAAAGAAAAAAGAAATTCCAAAGTGGTGGTGATAGGGGAGGGGCAAGTCTCAGCCAGTGCCTTGTAATCCAGAATCACCTGTGATTGGCTCTGTGTTTCAGATGATATCTGTGCAACTCCATTGAAGAGTCCATTGAAAATGATGTCTTTTCTCTGGAAAGCAGTGAGGCTTTTTATTGTTTGTGTGTTTTACTCTTTTTTTTTGTTTTTTAACCGCTTTTGTAAGTGGCTTGAGGATGGTTCACTATTTTCTGGGGATGAACAATGCTGCTATTGTGCCTTGCACTGGAGTAACTGAGGCAAAAATGGCCGACCTGGGATGCCCTCACAGCCAGAGCTAAAAAGCTGCTTTGAAAGTCTTGCCAATGGGTGGGCAGTGTTTTCATCCTTTCTGTGAATCCCAACACTGAAGCTATTGTTAGAAGAAGCAGTAGCTTGTGTCCCATGCAAATTAGTTGAAATAGTACATGGTCTACCTGTAGGGAAGCTTCTGTGGACTGGTGACCTCCAAGAGTGAGTTCACCAAAGACCCGGGGAAAGAAAACCAAGACAAGCTATAGTGATGCGAGTCCAAAACCTGACTCCTGAAGCACACGCAGAACACATGAGCATTCCCTATTTCAGGGTCCCAAGAACAAAGAGCTGAGGGACACCAGAGATGGTGAACTGAACAGAAGTGTGGTCTGTTCCACTGGAAAATGCTGGAAGTGAACAAAAGGGGAGCTGCCTTTTGATCCCTCTTCTCTCCAGAGCGTTTACAGAACAACCCTGAAGTTTTTACTCCCATGTCTTACCAATCCTTGAATGGGAAGAGCTGCTGACATATGCTCCTATCATTCTCCTTGCTTTTCTGTTTTCAACAATGCCACCAGCAAGGAGGTACATTCTCAGCCCACTCACTTTCACAGCCATAGAGACAACACTCATTGGTACCTCCCTAGCCTGCTCATTCCTTTACTTAGAATTAAGCCATGTTACTGTCATGTGCTTTAAGCCTTCTTCTCCACTTTGTGCTGTGTGCTCCACCGTGTTACGCACTTCCACAGGACAATCTACACTCATTCTTTTTCACAGCATGCTAGTTGATTTTTCTGGATTGCTTAACCTTCGATCTTAATTGAGAATTCCACAGGCTTAATGGATTTTAAACAGGCACATTTTATTGGCCATTTTAATGGCTTCCTCTGTGAAGTATATGTTTGTGTCTTTGGTCTGTTTTTCTATTGAGTCTCCTGGCATTTTCTTATTGATCGATCTTACTGATTTATTGACTTGTACATACTGGATAAGAATTGTTTATTGGCTGTAAGTAGTACAAATGTATGTTCACACTGGCTTTCATTTTTACCCCCTCCTCCACCCTCCCCCAATCAAGGCTGGCACTCTACTCTTGAGCCACATCCCCATTTCCCATTTTCATTTTCTTCATGGTTTCTTTCAGGGGAAAGAAATTCTTCATTTTTTGAAATCCAGTTTATCATCTAATTTGCAGCTGGTGCTCTTTGTAGTCTTAGACATTTCTGCATAGCCCCCTTCATAAAATATTCTTTTAAGTTTTTCTCTAATCAATCCACCATATAAAAAAGTGAGCAACTTTTTTGAGCCAGCCTATAAATATCTAGGCCTCCAAAAGTCACCATTATCAAGCCTAATTCTGCTTACCAACACATAATTATTCCATGTGAACTGTTAAATACTTACCTCTAAAAAGAATACTAGTCCATAAAATTGATATTTTCTTACACTGTACTCCCTGGAGGGCCATTCAACAAGCAGCTAGCCTAAAAAGTGTAGAAAAATTCTAGTGTTAATAATAGTGCCAGGTTTAAATCCCAGTCTTATTTTTAAGTTATCTGTGACCTTGGATAAGGTACTTAAATGCTTTCAGCTTGAGTTTTCTGCTCTGGAAGACAAAATAGTAGCTAAGATTTTTGAATGCTCACCATGTGCCAAACTGTATCAAGTGCTTCACCAGAATGATTCCTTTTAATCTTCAAGATGACTTTTACCAACCTGGTGCTGGTGAGACATGCCTATAATTCTATCTACTCAGGAGATGTTGATCTGAGGATCCTGATTCAAAGCCAGTCTAGGCAGGAAAGTCTATGAGACGCTTATTTCCAGTTAACAAGAAAAAAATCCAGAAGAAGAGCTGTGGTAGAGTGCTATCCTTGAGCAAAAAAGCTAAGGGACAATGCTTGGGCCCTGAGTTCAAGCCCCAGGATGGGGTGGGAGTGGGCATGGGGGGAAGACTATTACTCTGTTTATATCATGTCCTCTTTAAATGATAAACACTGGCTTCAGGACTTACATATGTAAAGTCTATGTATACTTCCTTCCTATTAAAGTGAACTGAGGATGTAGTTCAGATGTACCGGGTTTACATGTATAGCTACCCACGTGCAAGGCCAATCCTCAGTACTGGGTTCAATCCCCACTGCTATAAAACAAAGCAAAGGCACTGTTGTGGCAATAAAATGAGATAAGCCTAACCCTAATCCTGTTCAGTGCATAATAAATACTAGTGTTTATGATTATTGCATAACTAATCTGTATTATCCCTATCTCCAGACACTTTGAAAGTAAGAACTAGATATCTTAAGTGCTTCAGGAAATGACCTAGGAAATCTTTTGAGTTCCAAGTGAGAAAATTATGAAAATCACATATTGGTGTGAACACCTTTCCTTCCCTTCAGCAAATATTCATTATATGTCTTATTCTAAGAGATGGTATCATAAAAGTTGCTTTGTTTTATCTATCTAAAACAAATATAGCAGACTATACCATATTTGATAAATGCCATAAAGATAAATAATGCAGAGGTGTGGAGGCAGGGGGTAAAAGGGATTCATTTAAAGATATGGAGGCCAATTTGTTGAGGTGACATTTGATTAGGCACCAAAGAAATGCCTAATCAAAAGGAGTATGGAGGGAAGCCTGCAGGGATGGGAAAACTTTTTTTTCTG